TTCTAAAAGAATTGCTGTTAGAAATAGGCATGAGAGGCACAATTCACTTAAATAATACTAATTTTAAGAAATTGTTATAAAATAAAACGATTCCCTAAGCCTACTCTCTACTTACATTTTGATCAACTAGACCTACGCTTCTCTTCCTCTCTCATTTCTCTCTCTTCCTCACACACGTGCACGCGCACACACATGCAGAAACACACACACAATCCTAGTGCCTGAGAAAATCCAATGCTTACTTCAAGCTAAACTGAAGTTATTTAAAACAGAAAAAGCTTTTCTTTGGCATGATGCTATTATAAAAGCTTTTGTTTCCAGTTGGCCTTTGGGGGTGATCACGGTGTGATAAGAATCTTTTGGTACTCCTCTGATTTCAGTCTCTTTTGTCAGAGTTGTGGAACATGAACAAAGTTTTTCCTCCTATTGTATACCACAGTGGGTTTCCTGCACATTCTTCTCTGGGGATTTCTCAGGCATGCCTGTCTTCTCTTCCTTGATTCTTTGACACCTGAGGACTCTGCAGTTTTAAAGAAAGAAGATGCAACTTTCCTACAGATAAGTCCACGAAAGACTGTTCTTTCCTTCGTCCATGTTCTTTAAAAATGTAATTTATCTTCTAAATTCCCCTTTGAATCAGTCTTTTATGGAATACATTTTAAGGGAATACTATTGTGTTAAGTTTTCAACAAAAACACTTGGCCTTATCATATGCCTTTTATGTCCAATGAACACAAAGAACAAAATTTCAGAGTGAATAAATGATATGGATGAACCACAGATTGCCACTAAATCCGTCACATTATTTCACTTGCTTTATGAATCTCTAAGCACAAAAGTAGCCCCACAGACAAAAATAACACTATTTAGAACATGCTACGTTTCTGAGGCGCTTAATGTTTGCCAATGATCTTTTTATTGCTCTTATTTTATCTTGATTTTACCAGGACCAGCAAACTGTGAACTCAAAAGTCTCAATCAATTTAGAAAGTTTATTTTTGCCAAGATTAAGAATGTGCCCACGACAGTCTCAGGAGGTCCTGACAACATGTACCCAGGGTGGTCGGCGCATAGCTTGGTTTTGTAAATTTTAGAGATACATGAGACATCCATCGATATGTGCAAGATGTACACTGGTTTGGTCCAGAAAGGCGGGACCCCTTGAAGCCAGGAGGGGACCTTCCACTTCAGAAATAGACAAGAGACAAAAGGTTGAATTTTGAGTCTCTGATGAGCCTTTAACTGAACATACAATTTACATGTGAGAGGCGGGTAGAGGAACAGTCACTGATGCCTTAGTCTGGCTCAGTGACTCAACAGGCAGAGGAAGCGATCACATAGGAATTTGTCTCAGGTGCACGGAGGGAGAACTTTGAGTTCTGTCTGTCCTTTGTCCACAGGGAATTTCCTGTGGGCAAATTGTGCAGGAGACATGTAGCTGCTTACCTTTGTAGCATGTTATTTAGGAATAAAATGGGAGGCAGGTTTGCCTGATGCAGTTTCCAGCTTGACTTCCCTTTGGCATAGTGACTTTGGAGTCCCTAGATTTATTTTATTTTATTTTTTCACAGAACATAGTTTAGGACACTGTTAACTTAATTAACAGAGAAAGAAATTAAAACCCCAAGAGGCTGCTTGACATCACAGCATGAGTCCAGGGCAGCTCCAGAAAGAAGGAGCAGGGGAAACGAGGAGAGGATGGGGTGTGGGTGGCAAAAAGAGCAGGTGCCACAGGTGATGAGGCGATGATGCCGGTGATGAAGGAGTGAGCGATGCTGACATAAAAAGGCACCTGACAATGAAGAGCCAGCGTCCTGGTCTCCACCTGCACCTGCGTATATTATTCAATCACAGTAGACTCAGGATTCCCACCCTAAGCATTGTCTGCACTGAGGGCTGGGAAGAACTTAGGAAGGCCTGTGGCACTTCCCATGCCCCTGGAAGGGACGCCTGTATCCACATCTTACTCCTTGTCTTACTCCCTCCCTGTGCTGGGCCACAGAGCCCCACGGAGCTGCACCAGCACCAATCATTCACACTGCACTCGGAAGCCACCGAAACCAGCCAGCCCACCTTGCATCCTTGTTACCAGGGTCTCCGTGCCCCATCCCATACCTCGACAGTGCTCTGACCCCGGTATGGTTGTGCTCAGCCCCAGCTCTGACCCAAACTCCCTTCTGGAAGACGTTCCCTGGGCCACATGACATTCTGTGCCATCAGTACTCCTTCTCCCATAGCCTCACCCTTGTTGATTGGGGTCCAGCATCGGCGTTGAATGTAAAAGAGTGGCGGGATTAGGAGGGGAGCCTCTATGAAGAGAGATAGAAGACTGAAAGTTCTCTCACCATGTTTCAAACATTTGACCTTTAATTCAGCAGCAAGGAGAGTGACAGAGAGCAGTAAGTGAGGTGGGAGGAGTACGGGGTGGGGGGAGTGGAGCCCCAGGAGCTGGGTGAGGGATGTGATGGGGTGGGAGCGACCAGGTGTGTCCCACGGTGCTGAGAGTCAGGGAAGGGGAGGACTCCATATTCACTGTTGATTTAGGCACACGGATGCCCCGGGAAGCCTGGCACAAGCTGTCCACGAGGACCAGCAGAAGTGAGATCAACCAGAGTGGCTTCAAAAGAAATCGGAAAAGAGACAGAAACAGCAAGCCTGGGCAGCTTTGGGGTTGTCGATTAATTAGTGTAAGTCACGATAGCTTCTCTCACAAGGAACCAACATCTCTGTCGCTAAACACTAGATTTTATTTTTCGCTCAAGTTGATCGAGTCTAATGGGGTGGGAATTTGAGGGTGGGGGTGAGAGATCCCTGTTCCACACAGTCTTGTAAGGACAGCTTCCTTCAAATCTCCCCATCTCTAAGGTCCTCTGTACGTACCTGGCACACAGGGCCATGCTCTGCTGGTGGTGGCATTCATGGGCTGCGGAGGAGTTAGGTCACTCCCAGAAATGTTTCATCACCAGCACTCAGTCACATGGCCGGCCGTCACCGCAAGGGACATCTAGAAATGCTGACTAACTTGGAGGGACAGGAATGGTCAACTTTACATCAACTTGACTGGGCTAAGGGGTGCCCAGGTTGCTGGTAAGACATTATTTCTGGGTATGTCTGTGGGGAAGTTCCTGAAAGTGACCAGCATTTTAATTGGTGAACTGAGTAAAGCAGGTGGCCTTCCCCAGGGTGGGTGGACTTCACCCAATCTGTGGAGGGCCTGAGCAGGACAAAAAGGCCAAGGAACGGAGACTGCTCTCTCTGTGTGTCTGACAGACGAAGCTGAGGTATGGCTCCTCTACCTGAGAGCTGGACTCCTGCTGGCAGATCATGTGGGCCTCTCACGGTGGACGGTAGATTCTGAGGCCTCTCACGGTGGACGGTAGATTTCGGGGCCTCTCACAGTGGACGGTAGATTTTGGGGCCTCTCACGGTGGACGGTAGATTCTGAGGCCTCTCATGGTGGACGGTAGATTTTGGGGCCTCTCATGGGGGCCGGTAGATTCTGAGGCCTCTCACGGTGGGATGGTAGATTTTTGGGGCCTCTTGCCTCGGTGGACGGTAGAATTTCGGGGCTCTCACAGTGACGGTAGATTTGGCTCTCGCACGGTGGACGGTAATTCTTGACCTATGTTGGATGGTAAGATTTTGCCTCTATGGTGACGTAGATTTCAAGCCTCTCACGGTGGATGGTAGATTTCGGGGCCTCTCACGGTGGATGGTAGATTTTGGGGCCTCTCTCGGTGGACGGTAGATTTTGGGGCCTCTCACAGTGGACGGTAGGTTGTGGGGATTTTCAGTCACATGGGCCATTTCCTTAAGGTAAATCTCACCCTAGATAAAGGTATGGCTCCCACCAGTTCTGTTTTTCTGAGAGCCCTGACTCTACACACGGTCGAGAGGCTTGGTAGATATCCAGACCATGCCTGCCCCAGAAGAACGGAGTCACTAGCTGGTGGGGAATGTGGTGTAGACAGGGAGACTTTACATAAAGAATGGCACATGATAGAGGGTTTTTGATGCTGATAGGAAGGATTCAGCTGAGGGATGCCTGTGGGTCATGAGCCCCCAGTTGACTGAAAGGGAGAGATTTAATGGCATGGGGGAGAGAGAGCTGCTGCAGACATGTGCTTGATTTAGTGAGGGGGACAGGACCCAGGGCATGAAGCCCCACAGCAATGGTTTAAGCAACAGCATGTTGGATTTACCTCTGGCAAGAGGAGAGTAGGTGGAAGCAAGTCCTAGTTGGGTCCTGATGGGGCCATTGAAGGCTCTCTCCTCATGGGTCTCAGTCATCCCTGATCAGGATGAGGGAAGTGAGGGTCATGGAGTTACCGGGGAATGGGCTGGTGATTAAAGCGGGCTGAGAAGGAAGAGGAACTGCCACCAGCTTCTCCCACAGTGACGCCTCTTGGCTTTTGAGTGGATGCCACCTTTTAAAGGACGCAGCTGTCTCGGTATTTGCTCTGTCAACCACGTCCCAACTCTAACCTTCCACATTTATGTCAATAGCATAATTGCTTATATTTTAATTTTATTTTATTTTACTTATTTTATTACGAGACAGGCTCACACTCTGTCACCCAGGCTGGAGTGCAGTGGTGTGATCATGGCTCACCGAAGCCTCAAACTCCTGGGCTCCAGCGATCCTCCCGCCTCAGCCTCCCAAGTCACTGGGATTGAGTGAGCTTTCATTTAAGACACAAACTTAAACACTGTTCTTGAGTTTTCTCCCTCAGACCCAACACTAGTCCACTGGGGTCCAGCAAGCTTCACATCCTGCAGGTGTCCCGAGCTGATCCCTTCTCACCCCTCACCCTGGTGCCAGTTGCTGGTCCCCTCTCCCTTCCCCCAGCTGCCCTCCCGACCACACCCCACATTTCCTGGACCAAACAAAGTGATCCGTAAGAAGATGGCATCATTTACATCATGCCACTCCCCTTCTCAAAATTCTTCACCATCTTTCCTTCCAACTAGGAGCTCAAACCCAAATCCTGAAACAAGCACGCCCCAGGTTTTCCAACCCAAATCCCTAAATAAGCACGCCCCAGGTTTTCAGAGCCACACTGGCGTTTTCAGCTGCAAACTCCCCCACCCACCACCCACCATTCTGCTTGGGTTGTCAGAAAACTGGCCAAATTCTCTTATTCATTCTACTATTTTAAAATTTCTATGTTCACAATGATATGATCTAAAACTGCAGATGATATCCATCTTCCTTGCTGTTTTCCTTCCGATCCTTTTGCTTAGTTTTTTCACCTTGTTCTTCCGGGAGCCCCTGCTGCTGACGCTGATGCTGGGGTCTCGGGTGTCCCTTCTCGTCTCGCTCCTGACTTGGGGAGGCGGATTTCAACATGGAACAGCAGGTAGGGTTTGGCTGCTGCTTTTTGTTTTGTCTTTGTTCTGTTTTGTATCTGAACTCTGTTAGCTTTACGACCTTCCCTTTTATCCGGAGCACGTGGATCCAGTCTGTGTTTCAGGGTGGGGTTTTACTCTTCTGCTGAGGGTGTGGCCTTTTCTGATCCCGGCTTTAGGAGAGGATGACTTCCTGTCGAAGCCCTCACTTTCCCAGGTCTCCAAACTTTAAGAGATCATGAAATTCCCGTTCACCTTTCCTTGGTTTAGCTGGCATCCTTGGGACAAAAGTTGGGCTGTGCTTGGCCACACCCTCTGTGTCACAGGCTTATAGTCTACCCTGATCATCGCTCTCTAACATGTCTGCTAGTCAATCATTTTTAAATATGCTTCTTAGGGTTCCTTCTGCATTCTGTTACTCTCACAGGGAAAGCTGATCTGAGTGATGTGCTGTGCTCCAGCACTGGGAAGCTCTCTGCTTAGCCACAGAACCTCACTGACGCTCTTTCCTGTACTCTTCTTAAAAACAATGATTGTGAGTCTCTATCTCTCAGAAGACCATTTTCTGTATTTTACAATGAGATTTCAAGAAAGAGTCAGAAGAGATAGGTTAGTGTTATCCATTGTCTTTGTGCAAATTCCAGCCCCTTTTTTGTGCAAATTCCAGCCCCTTTTTTTGCCCTGCACCGAGATGTTCTCCTCCTGGCCAAGAAAAACATGTGGAGGGAGATCACATAACAAAGTGGGGGATCTCCAGTTGAACAGAGACTCAGAAAGAAAGCACTTAGAAAACTGTCAGGTGAGTTTTCCCTGGCACATTCAATTACATGTTGACACTTCAATAAAATAAAATGATTCAAAGTTTATGGATTTTAAAGAAACATACCCAAACTTATACACTGAAAAGTGGTTGTGCCCTTCAAGATAATCCCTTTGGAAGGATGCATACTTCCAAAATGAGGCAATGAGAGTTACAAAAAAATATCTTGGGGCCTCTCTTTCTCTCTCTCTCTCTCTATTTTTTTTTTTTTTTTTTGAGACAGAGTCTTGATCTGTCACCCAGGCTAGAGTGCAGTGGTACGATCTTGGTTCACCTCTGCTTCCCAGGTCCAAGTGATTCTCCTGCGTTAGCTTCCCAAGTAGCTGGGATTACAGGCACTTGCCACCATGCCCAGCTAGTTTTTGTATTTTTTGTAGAGAAAAGGTTTCACCATATTGGCCAGGCTGATCTTGAACTCCTGACCTTAGGTGATCCATCCGCCTTGGCCTCCCAAAGTGCTGGGATTACAGGTGTCTCTTTTTTTGAATGCTAGCCATGTATCCTATGACGGTGGAGTTGACTTTTTGAAAACCACGTCAACATGTAGATCTCAGTTCAAGGTTGATGGTGAATAGGAAAGTTCAATTAGCATGTCCGTTTATTTTTGATGACTCGTGGTATGTGTGGGTGTGCCAATTAAAGAAATGTAGTATCGGGGCAGGTTTCTTGTGTAACTGGAGGTATTTCTAAAAGGGGTTTTGTTAGATATTAGAGGGATGTTTGGAAATGCCAATGGAGGCGACTTGGTTTAGTTCCAGGGTGACTGACACTAGTCCGGACCTCATGTCGTGGCCCTCGGAAGGAAGCCAGGACGGCATGGGGTCCTTTCCACCCCTTGCAGTTCTGAGCACTCTTAGGATGTCCAACTGCTTCTTGGAGTTCTTTGTTAACTTCCTGTTCTTTAAACAATCTCTTTCTATATTTGTTGTTCCAGGGTCAGTTTCTGATAAAAAGTATGCATTTGTACTGTCTCAACTTCTAGGACTCCTGCTTGTGAGACTGCTGGCCTTCCTAAAGTTGCTGCCAGATCAGCTCCCGGCTTGGAGAGGTAAACGTTATTAGCAGGTTGCACTGAGGCGTGTTTATCTGCGCTAACATATCCATGCAGAAAAATGAGAGAGCAAAAGCGGAAAAGGATGTTTGTTTAAATTTAGTGTAAAATTATATAAATAAATAAAACCACAGAGGAAATTAGATATCTCTAAGCAAAAGAAGAAACCTCAGCCTCACCCTTCTACAAAAATTAACTAAAAATGGATCACAGTTTCAAATATAAAACATAAAACTACACATTTAGACAATGAACATAGGGCAAAATCTTTAAGACTAGAGTTTGCAAACATGTCACCAAAACCACAATCCATAAAAGAATAAATCAATAAATTGGATTTCATCAACAAAGCCTTTGCTCTGTTAAGGACTTTGTTAGCCATAAGATCATGTGCAGAGAAGGACCCTGTTGAGACAAGATACAGGCTGGAAGAATATATTTGCAAACCACGTATCTGACAAAGGATTATTATCTAGACATGTAAAGAACACTTAAACGCAACAGTAAAGCAAACAAGCCAATTAGAAAATGGGCAAAAGACATGAACAGACATTTCACTAGAAAGGATCTCTGGATGGTGAAAAAGCACATGGAAAGATGTTCAACATTCCTCGCTGTTAGAAAGATTCGATGAGTTCTTATTACACAGCTAAATTAGAAAAGAGTGACCGCACCAGACGCTGGGAAGGACATAGAGAAACAGGATCATCCACACATTGCTGGTGTGGATATCAAAGGTGCAGGCCACTCCGGAGAACAGGCAGCTCCTTAGAAACTAAACATACACTTCCCAATATGACCTGGCAGCTGCTCTCCTAGCCATTTATTCCAGAGAAATGAGAACTTCCGTTTGCAGAAATAACCATGCATGGTCCCTCATGGCAGCATTATCTGTAAAGCACAAAAAAAAAAAAAAAAAAAAAGGAACTCTCCAAAATGCCCCTCACTCGGTGGATGGGTAGGCAAGCTGTGGTCATCCACACCCAGGAGTATTACTCAGCCTCAGCAAAGACAGCAACAAGCTACGGGTAGATCTCAAGGGCATTATGCTGAACAAAAGAAGCCAAACCCAAAAGGTCCTATACTGTAGAATTCAATTCATATAACATTATCAGAATGACAAAATGACAGCGATAGGAAACAGATTGGTGGCTGCTGTGAGCTAGAGATGGTGGAGTTGGGGCGGGGAGGAGGCTGTGACTGTGAACATGTAAGTATTCCTGTTTCAGGGTTACCATAACACACGATCACAAACTGGGTGGCTTAAAACAATCGGAATTTATCTTCTTACTATTCTGAAAACTACGAGTCTGAAATCATGGCGTGGGCAGGGCCACATTCCCTCTGAAGGCCCTAGGGGGGATTTGTATCCCTCTCCCCTCTTCCGGCTTCCAGGGGCTGCTGAGCGTTCTTGGCATCCTTGGCTTCTAAATGCATCCAGCCAGCCTTTGCATCCGTCTTCGCATGGCCTCCCCCGGTGTGGACTTCTGTGCCTCTTCCCCGCTTCTCACGAGGAGACCAGTCATTGGATTTGGAGCCCGCCTGACTCCCGTATGACTTCATCCGTCTTCTCTTGATTACATCCGTAAGGACCCTATTTTCAAATAAGGTCATAGTCAGCATTACTGGGGGCAAGGACTCCAACCTATTGTTTTGGGGGACACAATTCCACAAGGCAGCTCCAGGGAGATCTTAATGGTGATAAAATGTCCTGTATGTAGATCACAGAGGTGGCTGCACAGATGTGCACAGGGGGTCACATGGAACCAGGCACACCTTGTACCAGGGACAGCTTCCTGGGTTTGTGTTGTGCTGTAATCATGCAGGATGCTCCCATTGGGAGAAGCTGTACAAAGGAGACACAGGACATCTCTGTAGTATCTTTCCAACTACTCTATGAATCCATAAATATTTTAAAATACAAATTTTAAAAAGTAAACAAAAATATGTCATTTCTACCTTCCCCCTCTGCTTGCATCCACAGGTCAAAGTAAGTCACATGATCCCTGCTGTGTGGGAGACACACACACCCCACAAACAAACACACCCCACATCTATGTCATTTGCAGGCTGACTTGAGTTGTAAAATAGTTCTGGGCATGAACGTGTGGTTATCTCTGTAGAAGCAGACAGGGCTTTCTTCCAGCCAGAAAATTCACAGTTCAGTTGAGGAAATGATGAACATCAATTGAAAAACAATTCCAAAATACTTCACAAAATTGCCTTTCCCAGGTCTTCACTTGCTTCTTTCTTTTTACACTTGGCCAATGGGTCAGACCCCATTTCCCCAAGTGATCAAGAATCAGTGAATGAGCTGAATCTTTGAGAACAATTCGAGTCCTCGAGGCCTTTCAACTCTGCTAGGAAACACTCATTTCTTGGTGAGTCCAGTGTCTTTCAGTGAAATTTGGTTTTCCTTCAAAGCCGTCCGCATGTATTGTGTTTAGAAACCCGAAGGAAAGCCTGGGAGATTTAGCATCCATGTGCTCACCACAATAGTTTATGGTGTCAGCTTATTTTTGATGTAGATTTTCTTTTGAAGTGCCTTGGAGCTATTGATTCATTTTGGAAAGAAAATAAAATAACCAACACATTTATATTCCATTTTGTTTACTAATATGATAAGGCAGTTGCTTTTCCTGTAGACCTAACAGAAACTCTTTTAAAACCTCATCATGTGGAAGTTAAAAATACGGCTTTAGCAGTAAACGTAAATGCAGCACAGCTTCATGGAAACATCTCTGAACCTGCTGGCTACCCTGGCTGTCAGGGTTGGATGGCATGCAAAGCGACATATTTATTTCCTGTCTCATTATTGATGACCGTTGCATAGGACCCATACGTTATTCTCTGTTAGTGTCATACACTCAGGCAAAAGGGTTGAGACATTAAAGGGTAGTTTTCCTGAGTTCTGATGTTTCGATTGTGCAAGCCAAACTCATAGTGTGGAAAATGGAACATTTTATGAAGTTCATACATTTTCAAAATTGCTCCTACAATGATGCCTTTGTTTTGTGTTAGGACTGGAATGATGGCTTCTATCTGTTCCAAAGAACTCCAATATTGCCTCAAGTGAAGAGGAAAGCCTCATATTTCAAGGCCACTGACTGGAGCCCATTCACATGCCACAAGGGGACGGATGCCGTTGTTTTTTTTACGGCGAAGAAAACGGTGATGTATTGGAGTCTCATCATCCCGTCTCTCCATCATTGTTGGTGTGTAGATCAGCCAGTCTGGCTTGTGTAGCAGGATTAAAATGTTATGTCTCCCAGTGAGCTAGTGAATATCAACACTTTCCTTCTTTCTGTATGTGAAGTCCCTTTTTAGTGGATAAAGCCATTTGTTGACAGAATTATTGACATTTTTATGGGATTGTTTTTGGAAAAGGCTAACATATAATTTCAAATTCAACATATGGTAGTGGTCAAATTGTGTTCCTACTGTGTAAAATGCCTGAATAATAACCTACTGCACTCTCTTGGCCGGTACACAGAGCAAAACTTGATTAATTTCACCAGCTTCCCTTAATCTCCTCCTTTGGCTCCCATCCCATTCTGCAAGAATTGATAAATCTTACATCCCCTGAAGATTATTACAGTTCCGAATAGTCTTATGACATTAGAAAGAAGCCAGGCTCAGTGGCACAAAATACATCTAACACACGAAATCACATAAATAATTTAGTTTTCACAATTTAATTTTTATAGTTTTTTTTGTTGTGGTTGCTGCTATTATTGATGGGGTATAATAAGGACTGTTGGCTGACACTGCAGTTAAAAAAATGGGGAATATTTTGACATCAAAAATGTCAATGTTGTTACTACCCTTCACTGTTGACCACGCTCAATGATTCAATTTCAGCCTAAGGTCGGGAATGTGTTCATAAATTATACCATCAGAGAGGCAGATGCAGAAAGAAAAAAATTAGCTCATTTTCTTATAAAAAAATACTTTTCTCTCTTGAAAAATGAGCGTGGGGCCAATTTTACACATCTCTGGTTCAAAGTAACCTACATCAACTTGGGATCATTAGTAACTATTTCTCCAGAATCCTGTGGCTCTTAACAGCAACATATCTATTAAGCACCCTGCATGCCAGGGCCTCTGCTAAGCGCTGGGGTGGATGTCAGGCAATTATGATTCGTGCCCTTGTTCTCAGAGTTAATCCTTCATCGACACACACCCATTCAGTAGGTGATTGACAAAGGAACACAGAAAGTCTATTTGACACTATGGATGTAAAGATTGGCCTGGGATTTGTTTTATAATAGCTTTAAATTATTTCTTTTCTTTTCTTTTTTTCCTTTCCTTTCCTTTCCTTTCCTTTCCTTTCTTTTCCTTTCCTTTCCTTTCCTTTTCTTTTTTCTTTCTCATTCTTTCTCTTCCTTCCTTCCTCTTTCTTTCTCTTTCTTTCCTTCTCTCTCTTTCCTTCTTCTTTTCTTTCTTTCTTTCTTCTTTCTTTCTTTCTTTCTCTTCTTTCTTTCTCCCTCCCTTCCTTCCCCTTTCTCTTTTCTTTTCTTTCTCTTCTCTTTTTCTTTCTTTCTTTTCTTTCTTCTTTCTTTCTTTTCTTTCTTCTTTCTTCTTTCTGTTCTTTTTCTTTCTTCTTTCTTCCTTCTTCTTTCTTCCTTTCTTTGCTTCTTTCTTTCTTCTTTCTTCTTTCTTTCTTTCTTTCTTTTCTTTCTTTCTTTCTTCTCTCTCTCTTTCTTTCTTTCTTTCTTTCCCTCTATCTCTCTTTCTTTCTTTTTGTTTTTTTTGACAGGGTCTTTGTAGCCCAGCTGAAGTGCAGTGGCACAATTAACAGCTCACTGCAACCTCGATTTCTACTGCTCAAGTGATCCTGTGCCTCAGCCTTCTGAGTAGCTTGGGACCACGTGTGGCACACCACCATATCTGGCTAATTTTTTTTTTTTAATTTTTTTCATAGAGACTGAGGTCTTGTTATGTTGCCCAGGCTGGTCTTGAACTCCTGGCCTCAAGCTATCCTCCCACCTCAGCCTCTCGAACTTTGGGATCACAGGCATGAGCCACTGCACAGGAACCCAAATAAAAATATTTGTGGTAGCCAAGTGTGGTGGTGCGTGCCTATAATCCCAGCTACTCGGGAGCTGCTTGAACCCCAGAGGCGGAGGTTGCAGTGAGCCGAGATTGTGCCACTGTGCTCCAGCCTCCTTGACGGAGTGAGACTCTGTCTCAAAAAAAAAAAAAAAAATGTGGTGAGCATTACGTAAAATGTTAGATTTACAATGTAATTAATGGAGATGTCATACTTAAAGTTATGTTGGGACAAGTCTGCTGTGTCACCATAACTTCTCAAACCTTGGTTGATTGAAACCAGGTCTAAAAGCTTAAAGAGATCTTAAGGCTTAGTTCTTCTTATAGAGAGATCTGAATTGCTTTTCCTCGAACATCTTATGGTAGGTGCAGTGCTAGTCCCTGGGAGTATAAGGCAGAGCCCAGCGTACCCTAAGTACGGTCCAGTTCGTCCTAAGAACGGCGGGGAAGGGGACATGAAGGGCACTGCCATTCACTGAATGCCTGACAAACCTCTGTAGACAGATGTCAGTCGTCTTACCTTGCACGCACACACAGAATCCTCCAAACTTAAAGACCTCGAGCAAGAGTTCATCGAGTCTCGTGAGTATGTGGGTGGGTGGACTGTGGTCCTTCTGCCTGCCCTGCGTGTTGGGGCCCCAGCAGGGGTCCCCCAGTTCTCCTCCACATGTCCCCGTTCCTCTGATAGACCAGATGGCTTTTTCTACATGGCTCTGAGGGCCCCCAGAGAGTACATAGTTGCTGGATCTCTCATGGGCTTGGCCCAAAATTGGCACAGGACCACCTCTACTGCCTCCATTGGTCAAACCAAGTCACAAGGTGAGCCGGGGTTCAAGGCGGGGAAACAGACTACCGCCGGTGGAAAGAGGGGCGTTCAGGTGCTGGAGGGGGCTTACTGGTGCCATCATTGCAGACACACCAACATCTGCCTCCATAGCATCCCTGTGTCATCTTAACAGCAATCATCTAAAGAAAGGGGTTTCATTGTTTTTATTTTTCGTGCTATTTTTTAGGTGAGAAAACTGAGGATTAGAGATATCAAGAAATAACTACCTAAAGTTCTCTAAACATCGGTGGGAGTACTCGTTAAACATCAAGGGGCTTCGGATAAGACAGACTGGCAATTAAATGCCTCTCCCATTTACTGCCTAGAAAACTGAGGGCAGCGTGTGTATCTTTTCTGCAGAATAAGGATACTGCCTATCTCGGAGCTGAGCAGGAAGGTGTAGGTGAGCTGCTCAGCCTAGGGCCTGTAAGTAGCCAGTCCTCAGGGTTTTTGTACGACTGAAGAACACTGAGCTGGTGGCCAGAAGCTGTGACTTCCAGTTCCAGTCAGTTGCTACTTGACTGTTAAAATTTGAAGAAATAATTTGAAGTCCCTAAAATAAATGTTTTAATTTATAAAAATGGGCTGGGTGCAGCGGCTCACACCTGTAATCCCAGCAGTTTGGGAGGCCGAGGCGGGTAGATTACCTGAGGTCAGGAGTTCGAGACGAGCCTGACCAACGTGGTGAAATCCTGTCTCTACTAAAATTATAAAAATTAGCCGGGTGTGGTGGCATGTGCCTGTAATCCCAGCTACTTGGTAGGATGAGGCAGGAGAATCATTGAACCCGGGAGGTGGACGTTGCAGTGAGCTGAGATTGTGGCATTGCACTCCAGCCTGGGCAACAAGAGCGAAACTCCATCTCAAAAAAAAAAAAAAAAAAAATTATACAAATGAAAGTATTTGATGATCTTCAAGGTTCCTTCCTTGAACAGGTTTTTAAAATCAGTTCTATTTGCAAATTTAAAAACAACCAGGGTATCATGGTAATTAAAATCAGAGTGGAAAAGAGAGATGAAAATTAGCATAGTGTGTAAAGAACTATTGCCAAGCCGAAACAACAGAAAAGAATGTTTCAATAGATATATGGGAAAATTGTCAAGAATTGTCATAATAGACAATTAATGAAAGAATTGCAAGAGGTCAGCCGCATGATGGACACATACCTAACCTCAATAATAATCAAAGATATTCAAATATAAACAAAGATAAGCTATTAATGTTCATTTGTTAAATTGTTAAATGTGGCTGGATGTGGTGGCTTACATCTGTAATCCCAGAATTTGGGGAGACTGAGTCAGGAGGATTTCTTAAGGCTAGTTTGAGACTAGTCTGCACAACATAGAAAGATCCTTTCGCTACAAAAAAATACAAAAATTAGTCAGGTGTGGTGGCACACACCTGCAGTCCCAGTCATGTGGGAGGCTGAGATGGGAGTAATGCTTGAGTCCAGGATTTCATATGAGCTCTGACTGCCACTACACTCCAGCCTGGGCAACAAGGCGAGACACTATCTCTGAAAACAATGTTGGTGGTATAGCATCAAAATCTTTCAAGGGGTCAGTTTGGCAATATTTATCAAGAGCATTAAGAATTTACCTCTGACCCAATAATTTCAGCCTTTAGAAATGGAGAGATGTGTGCGCCAATGACAAACACATTTATTGCAGCATAATTTGCAAAATTTCAACCCAGAACGCTACTTAAATATGCAAAAAAAAGATGGGGAACTTTAAATATATTATGATACATGTGATAAACAGCAAAACAGGCCTTAAAGTCTGTACTTTTAATAGTATTTCATACTCTGGGAAAACATTTGCCACAGGATAATGATGAATAAAAGAAGAAACCCAAACTACAAATTGAGTGTCATTCCAACTAAAGGAAAAGATAAACATGTTCCCAGAGAAAAATTCTGAGAAAAGCGACACCAAAGTCTTGAGAGTGTCTATTTAAAAAACAGTTGCATAGCTGATGATTTTTACATTATTCTGTGTATTGTTCTGAATGTTCAAAACTGCAGCGAACCTGCAAACTTTGTGGTTAACAACAACAGCAAAACCACAGAAAATGCAAAAACAAACATGTCTCTTTTCTTCAGCTATTCTGTGAATCTCTTGAGCATCACAACTTTAGGGACCACCTGCTGTGCCCCCCATAGCACTTCCTAGCACTGTCCCTGTTAAGCCGGGTTAGGGTCACACTGAGAAACCACACCCAGAAGCCTGGTGAATAGTAGGTTAATAAAACAAAGGTATAACTAGGCTTTCTTGGAGGCAAAACTACAGATGTCTTTCATTCTTCTTCAGTCCTAAATGCAAATCATTTCTCACGCTCTTTTTAAAATGGATGTTAGGCTGGGCGAGGTGACTCACTCCCATCATCCCAGCACTTTGGGAGGCTGAGCTG